TTTCCTTGCACTGGGCCATGCACTGAATGGGATTGAGTCTTTTAGGCTGCAGGAGAATTGAATTTATTGATAATTGTGCCTGATCTCCCTCCTGTCYGAGCAGCACATCGCCATCCCCAGGCCCGACCGGCCGGCCGAGGTGCGGACCTTCACCTTTTATCTCTCCAATATCGGCAAGGACAGCCCGCAGGGCAGCTTTGACTGCATCCAGCAGTACGTGTCCAGGTGAGTCCCAGCAAAACCCAGCCCTGGTTTTACCCCTGCTCCTCCCTAACAAAGCTTCATGCACCTCCTGCCTTTTTACACTCTTTCTGCTGTGTTTTGATGTGGTTTTTTTTTGGGAAGGATCCGTTCCCTCCCGGCTCCTCCGCGTGTCCCCCTCTGTTTCTCAGCCARCCCTGCCCCCAGTGCCAYCCTGGTGTCCCCTGGCAGTGCCAGCAGTACCTTTTCCTTCTCATTTCTCTTGCAGCAATGGCAATATCCACTTGGATTGCCTGGGAAGCATCCAGGATAAAATCACCGTGTGTGCCACCGACGATTCGTACCAGAAGGCGAGGCAGAGCATGGCGCAGGCCGAGGAGGAGACACGGAGCCGGAGCGCCATCGTCATCAAACCTGGGGGSAGATATGTCGGTAAGGAGCAGCTCCCTGGGGCTCTGGGCAGCATCTGGAGTGAATCYTGATGGTTTTGGTGATTTTGGGAGGCTGAAAAGTCCCTGGGAGCWCCTCGGGGGTGTCTGGTGTAGGGGCTGCTCTCGCTGTGTTGTGTTGTGTTCAGGTTCTGTCACCGCCCCGGGGACGCCGTGCCTGTCCCATCCCTGGAAATGTCCAGGAATCCTGTCCAGTCCTGGAATCCTGTCCATCCCTGGAAATGTCCAGGAATCCTGTCCAATCCCAGGAATCCCATCCAGTCCCTGGAATCCTGTCCAGTCCCAGGAATCCTATTCAGTCCCAGGAATCCCATCCAGGACCAGGCTGGAGCAGCCTGAAGGTGCCCCTGCCCACGCTGGGGGTGGCACTGGGTGATCTTTAAGGTGCCCTGAGCCTTGCAGGGCTCTGTGTGTGTGTGTGAGGTGACATCGCTGTGGCCTTGGGTCACCTGTGTCCCCGTGCTGGGCTCCCTGCTGAGCCCTGCCCGTGGCTGTGCCCCTGCTCAGCTCAGCTGCCACGTGCCACCAGCAGGACCAGAGTGGGGGACACAGATAGCCATGCCCTCTGTGCCCTCTGTGCATCAGCACAGTCACCAGCCCACCCCAGAGCTGCCCCTTCTCCCTGTGCCACCAGTGGGACCACAATGGGGGGACACAGTGCCCTCAGTGCCCTCTGTGCCCTTTGTGCATCAGCCCAGAGCTGCCCTTTCTCCCCGTGCCAGCAGCAGGAAAACTTTGGGAGAGGAAATGAAACCATGGCAAACACACAKGGAGCCTGCAGAGAAGCCAGGGCACAACCTCAGGGCACAAACACTAACCAAAACACAGTTTCACTTTTTTTTTCTTTTTTTTCTTTTTTATTTTTTTTTCTGAGGCAGCTGCTTTTCCTGCAGCCCATGTGATCTGTAGCCATCCCTTCTCAGAGGATCTGTGACGAGAAGGGTTGAGTTGCAAAACGTAGAACTGACCCTGACTCATTGTCACAGCAGCCAAGTGCTCAAAGCTGAGAAACAAGATAGTAATCAGGAAGGAAATGCATTGATTTCCTGTAGGCCAGGAGATTATTTTGTTTAGCTCCTCTTTGAGAACATTACAGTAAGTGCCTGAAGTTAAAGCTTCTGAGGGAGGAGATTCTCAAAGCAATTTGCTTTCCCGGAAAAGATGGAACAAAACTTTTTTTTTTTTTTTTTTTTTTATTTTTTTTTTTTTTTTTTTTTTTTTTTTTTACATTTTTAATGTAAAAATTCTGCTAAAAAAAACCCTTTGAGTGGCCTGAAATGGAGACAGAGCCGTGTGAGCTGCAGGGGATGCATGCTCACACTCCAGCATGTGCAAATCCATAGAATGCACGTGGATAAATATTTGAAAATCCTTTCTGTCCTGCCTTCACTTTGGTTTTTTTTTTTCTTTCCCTATCCCCGCACATTTTGGCTCCAGCCTTTTCAATGGAAACCTCCCAGCGTGGTGTTTTTACTGTTCATGACCTGGCAAAGAGTTAAAGCAGCTCTAGAAAGCTGACGAATCTTCTCCCATCCCATTTCTGGAAACAAAATCCAGCTGACCTCTGTGTCGGGGGATGTTTAACGTGCAAATTGGTGTCATGTCCCATCTTGGGACAGGCTCTGCTTCCTCTCCCAGCTCTGTGGTGTGGAATGAGAAGCCAGGAAATGGGGCCTGGGTTATGCAATTGCAGCTCAGTAAAACAAACAGTGCAGAYAATCCTCAGTATCTTCAGATGACTCAGTTGAAAACGTCTTTTCCTAGCAATGGAACAGAGCTCCAAACACTGAGGGCTGGATGTTGTTTGTCCTAGCCAAGGTCACTGTCTCCAGCCCCAGCGATTATTGATTGCATCTCCAGSTTTTTCAGACCTTGGAACCCACAGGTTTTGTTTTCAGGTTTTGCTTGGTTTGTCTTTAGTAGGAGGAACCTGTGTTTGAAATAATCCCAGTGTTTGGGCTGCACTCGGTGATGGTGTGAGGGTTCTGTTCCTCAGCAGGAATGGGAAAAAGGAATTCTTGGGTGGTTCTGTCAGCCAAGAGCCACGCTGGGGATGGAGCWGAGATGCACTCAGAGGCAGCTTTCTGTTGTCATTGGTGTGCAGAAGGGGTTATTGCAGCAGCACAGGCAGCACCCTCATGAATAGGCTGATGGGCCGGTGTCAGCCCCATTCATGGGGCCGTGCTTGGAGGGGGAAGGGAGCAGGACCCAGCCCCATAAAGTTCCTATTGTTCGAAAAGCAGAAACATCTGCTGGAGGAGCGTTTTTGCTGAGCTCAGCAGCGGGGAGCCGCTCGTTGACCACTTCTGGTCTTTCCACTCCRTATTTCCACTCCTCTACACAATAATGCCGAATTTTCTTCTGCTAGGGAGGGCAGAACCGCTTCGATTAAGCGTGGGGATAGCACTTGGGTTAAATGAAAAGCTGGCAAACAAAGGGAGCTTTATGTGGCCCATAACAGTCAGGTTTGCCGAGCTCAGTGTCACTGTGTGTTGTGAGGTTGTCACCGAGCTCGCTGCGGAGGGTTTGGGGTTGTTTTGTCCCCCGCTGTCCCCAGACCCCGCTGCAGTTCACTGTTCTCATCTCATTTTAGGCAAAAAGGTTCAGGTGCGTAAACCTGCACCAGGAGCTTCCGATGCTGTTCCCTCCAGGAAGCGCCCAACGCCCGTCAACCTTGCCAGTGCAATAAAGAGAGGCAATAGTGCCATTTCCCAGAGACCCTTCAAAGATAGGGTTGTGCACTTACTGGCACTAAAGCCTTATAAGAAACCCGAACTTATTCTCAGATTGCAGAAGGATGGACTTTCTCAGCAGGACAAGGATTTGCTGGATAACCTTYTGCAACAGGTTTGTACCTTGATGGAGGCACCGGGTTAGGGAAAGGGAAATGTCCCCTCTCAGCCCCGTCCTGTGACACTGGGGTGTGTTATCTGCAGGCTGCAGCTGAACCTGGCTCTGGAGCTTGTGGGGGATGCAGATCTTGGCTCCTGCTGCTGCAGAGATAGCAGGAACCTCCCTGGGACCAGGGGTGTGACCAATCTGGGTGATTCCTGCTCACCACATCGGTCCCTTTCAGAGGGACACTTGTGCTTGGTCATGGGGAGGATTCTCTTCACACTGGACCCATGAATTATTTGGTTATAACCTGTAAATCTATTTATTCTCATGGACGTGCAGGAGCAATGCTCTGTATATTATAATTATTATATATAGAAAGGAGCAATGCTCTGTATATTATAATTATTATATATAAAGGAGCAATGCTCTGTATAGTGTTATATATATAAAGGAGCGATTCTCTCTATATTATAATTGTTATATATATCAAGGAGCAATGCTCTGTATATTATAATTATTATATATATAAAGGAGCAATACTCTGTATATTGTTATATATATAAAGGAGCGATTCTCTGTATATTATAATTGTTATATATATCAAGGAGCAATGCTCTGTATATTATAATTGTTATATATATATCAAGGAGCAATGTTCTGTATATTATAATTATTATATATAGAAAGGAGCAATGCTCTGTATATTATAATTATTATATATATAAAGAAGCAATGCTCTTTATATTGATATGTATATAAAGGAGCGATGCTCTGTGTATTATAATTATTATATATATAATGGAGTGATTCTCTGTTTTATAATCATTATCTATATCAAGGAGCAATGCTCTGTATATTATAATTGATATATATATCAAGGAGCAATGCTCTGTATATTGTTATATATATAAAGGAGTGATTCTCTGTATATTATAATTATTATACATATAAAGGAGCAATGCTCTGTATATTCTTATATATATAAAGGAGCGATTCTCTGTTTTATAATTATTATATATATAAAGGAGTGATTCTCTGTATATTATAATTATTATATATATCAAGGAGCAATGCTCTGTATATTATAATTATTATATATATCAAGGAGCAATGCTCTGTACATTGCAATTATTATATTTATAAAGGAGCAATTCTCCTTATATTATAACTATTTATATATAAGGAGCGATTTCTGTGTCGGTACAAGTTCTGTACACAAAGTAAAAGATATCCCCTGATTTTTTTGTGCTGCTCAGAGCCTTTCCTGYGTGGCAGCAGCCCTGGTTAGGTGTGAAGATCATGCAGCTCCTCTCCAAGCACATTATTTGTATGTCAAGTGTGAAATCTGTCTGAGCTGAATCAGTTCCTAGCTTTGAGTCACACTGAAGGTGCCATTTTAGGCCTCGCAGTAAACACCTTCATTGCTTTATTAAACACACAGTGCCTATTTATTTAAATGCTGCAGCTGCCTTCTTCTGTATTGGAATAGATTCTGGGGAAAACTCCTGATTTTTCTCTTTTTTTTTTTTTTTGACTTTTTTCCACAAAGAGAAGTTCAGTTTGCCCAAGGGCACAGGGCAGGTCATACAAAAAACAGAACCACAGCTGGCACAACTCCTTAAACTTTAATCCCAGCAGTTTTTTTTTTTACAGCAACTTTTTCTCTGCTCTCCACAAGTTTCAGAGCAGCAAATAATGCTTTTAACACATTTRTGATGATGTTTTTTGCTGGATGCTSTGCCCCGACAGGCGAGCGGCGCGTGCGGCGGYGGCCACGTTTGGCTGTGAACATTCTGCTCGTAAAGTTAATCCCTGTCAGCCCTCCCAGGGCTCCCATCCACGGGCAGACACAGATAAGCTAAAAATTACAGGGCTGCACTTAAAGCTGCACGTCTAAATCCGGCTAGGTGTGGGTTTCATTGTGCTCTTGCATCTCTCGCAGGACTCGGTGTTCCTGGCGGCCTTTTTGCCTCGTTTTGCAAGGTTTCTATTTTTGGGAGGGCTGGGGTGGAGCTTTGCAGAGTCCCACACGAGCAAAACAAGGAGGGAGCAGCTCTCAGCCTCTGTGCAGAGAAAAATCCAAGTTGTTCTTCCCGGGTTCTGGGAGCAGAGAGGTTTTTTTGGGGTTTTTTTTTGGTTAAGGAGAACCTGGCTTTGCTTTTGTCTCCTGRGTGTGTTCACTGGGATACCTCGATRTAAAACACAGCTCAAATTCTYGTGTTTTGGCTCGGGGTTTTGGAAAGCTGACAGGACTGAAAGGAAAAACAAAGTGTTTGTCATGTAAACTGRTAACTGGGCTTTCTATTTTTTCGCTTATCAGGAGAGTTTGCCATGTTGGTTGTTCAGCTTTTTGYGTGGAAATTCCTGGATTTTTAGTGTTTTTTATATTGGGTTGTAGCCTCCCTAAAGCAAAAGCAGAGGAATCTTCAGCTCATTCAAGGCTTCCCACTCCTTTGYTTGTTTTTGGGGCATTTTCTACCCCGTGGATCTGAGAAATCCCCGAGTCCAGCTCAGTCCTGGATATCAGCAATCCCCAAACAGATCCACGAGGTCTCCGTGCACCAAATAAAATCATTTTCCACCTCCAAGGGCAGCACTCCCCATGCTGAGGGGGCTCCAGGCAGATTTTGCTGCCTTTTCCTGGCTGTGGGCAGAGCTTTTGGCACCTGGGCCTGCAGAAACACACAGAAAAGTTGATTTTTTCCAGATGCTCTGTGAGCTGAGGCTGCCAGAGGAGCTGCCTGGCAGTGCCCACAGCATCAACCTGGGGTAGAGGAGGGAGATAAACCCAAGCTCTGGATCACCCAGGAGAGCTTAACCCGCTGGGGCTCTGTGCTCTGAATTTTTGGGTGTTTAACCAACAGTGAGGAGTTCAATTTGCAGCCAGGCTGTGAAAAACTGCAGGGATCAGGATCACCCTGCCCAAACTGTGCCCGTTCTCACCCTGGCACACAGGGAATTGTGGCAGAATGGATGGAACCTCTGCTGCTGTGGGAGCTCTGAGTGCAAATCCCACCTTCTATTCCCACCTGGAAAAGTTCTCCCAACCCCAGGTGATCCCAGGCTGTTCTCTCACAGCTCTCCCTGCCCGTTTCTTTGGCTCTTTGGTGAGAAATTATCTCCTGGCAATTGTTAACCCAGTTATCACCCCCAGAGTTCCTTTTTGGCCCCGTTCTGGCTGTGGGACAGGTGTGATAAGTGAGCTGCCTGTTCCCATTAGGCTTCATTTCCAGGTATTTCCATCAAAGTGCTGCTCCAGCCTCCCCAAGCTGAATAATCTTTTTTAGATAGGACTGATTTCCCACTCAACTGGCTGTGCTTTAGAAGCTGGGTATGAATTATTGCAGTGACAAGGCCACCGTTTGATTAAATAATCTTAATAATAAGGAAATGAAATATTAAAGTTTCTCCTTGTTCTCTGACACTGCTAACAGCTGCTAAGTCTGCTCAGAGTTTGTCTTAGCTCTTGTTTGGTGGAGGAAGTGAGAAAATTAAACCTTCATGATGGTTTTTTTTTCCAAACTTTTTCCTTTCCAGGTGGCAAATTTGAGTGCCAAGGACAGCACTTTCACCCTGAAGGATTGTGTCTACAAGGAGGTGCAGAAGGACTGGCCTGGCTACTCAGAAGGAGATCAGCAATTGTTGAAAAGGATCCTCGTTAGGTAAATTCTCCATTTTCTTCCTTTTGTTGTCATCCAGGGGATTCTGGACTGGAGCAGGTGCTGTAAACCTGGGGAGATCAAGGACTGGGATTTGAATGTTTGATTTATTTTAACATCATTTCATCYGTGGGAGTGAACAAAACTCCAATATCCCAATTCTGCTCTTCARATCATCCTGAGCTGTCTTTAAATAATATTTCTTGAGGGAATCCTGGATGGGGGCAGAGCTGGGGGAGTTAATTCTGCTGCTTTAAAAACCCAGGAGCTGAGTGGATTAAATGTCTSCAGCTCCACCTCCTTCCCTTTTTCCACATCTCCTTGCACGTGGCTTCCATCCCTGAATCTGATAAAAAACCTTTGATTGAAGGGAGGAAAAGCARGAGGAAAAAATCCCTTATAAAACAAACTCTGTGTCCAAAGGAAACCTGTTTCGTGTTTTTTTTCCTGCAAACAGCCCTCAGCTCATCTGAAAAATCTCCCTCTGCAGATATTTTCCTTAGGTGAAGCCTCCCAACTTGAAATTTTGCAGGAAAAAACACCAAATCTCCCAATTTTCTCCAGAATTCTGCTCTCTGTGTTAATATTTTTCAGTGCCTCGGCACAGATTTTGTAATACAGGCAGAACATTTATTTGTGCTTTATTTTATTGCACTTTTRGTTAAGCTGAAGCTGATTTAAAAGCACAATTGACTTGAAGATGAGGCTTTTTTAAAAAAAAACAACAGAAAACTCACACTCCAAGTGTGCTCAAGGAAAATCAAAACTCATTTAGATRGCCTTGATGTGAATTTATAATTAAATGGAAAAATACAACTGCCATGCAGACTTTATGGCTTTCAKAAATWAAAAAAAACAACCCCAAAGTGAATTTTTCCCTGCAGAAAAGCAATGTTTACTGCTTTCTGGAGAATTGTGGCATTTGCTTGGGCAAGGGTCTAAAAATAAACCTTGGAAAGGATGTGTTCAACTGTCCAAACAAAGCCCTGCTGGGCCAGTGCAGGTAATGAGGCTCCAGAATGGAAAAAAAAAAAACCAAAAAAACCCATGGGGTTAAAAAGGAGAGAAAACAGCCCCAGGAACAGGAGTTCCCTCCTGTTTGGGTTAAACCCAGCTCAGTTTCTGTCCTGGTTGAGTTAAACCAGCTCAGTTCTATCTTGTTTGGGTTAAACCAGCTCCATTTCCCTCCTGGTTGGGTTAAACCAGCTCCGTTTCTGTCCTGGTTTGGTTAAACCAGCTCCATTTTCCTCCTAGTTGGGTTAAACCAGCTCAGTTTCTGTCCTGGTTGGGTTAAACCGGCTCAGTTCCCTCCTATTTGGGTTAAAACAGCTCAGTTCTATCCTGGTTGGGTTAAACCCAGCTCAGTTCTATCCTGGTTTGGTTAAACCATCTCCATTTTCCTTCTGGTTGGGTTAAACCAGCTCAGTTCCCTCCTATTTGGGTTAAAACAGCTCAGTTCTGTCCTGTTTGGGTTAAAACAGCTCTGTTTTACTCCTGTTTGGGTTTAACACACTCCATTTCCCTCCTGGTTGGGTTAAACCAGCTCAGGTCTGTCCTGTTTGGGTTAAACCAGCTCAGTTCTATCCTGGTTAGGTTAAACCAGCTCAGTTTTCCTCTTTTTTTATGTTTTGCCTCCTTTTGTCACCTCTGGGGGCCCGGACCAGTCGGATCTGTGGAAATTGTCCCATCCTGGGATGAGCTTCAGGGCATTTCCAAMCCAAACCATTCCAGGATTCTCTGGAATCTTTGCTGAGCTGAGCTTCCATTGGCTCCCCCAAATCCATAATTAGCAATTAGGGGCTGTGACGAGGTTGCCCAGCCCCCCAAAAGCCACTTTCAGGGCTGCTCAGGCCACATCAGTGTCCCCTTCCCATTTTCCAGTCCCCAAATCCTTTCCTGTGGCTGCTGGGGTTGTTTTAAACCAAATTAAAACCAAATAAAACCAAATTAAACCAAATTAAACCAAATTAAACCAAATTAACCAAAGCCAGGTCGTCTGGAAATTGCTGCAACACATCCCCAGGTTCAAGCTCAGGTTAAAAACCCAAACTTTGTCAAGTCCTGGGCGTTATCTCCGAGATAATCTCCCCAATGTTTGAGGGATATGAAGGAGCTTTCACGCTGCTTGCAGTTTTTTGAGGTGGAATTTAAATTTGGGTTATTCAGGCTCTGCAGCTTCTGACAAACTGACTGCAGAGCTGCTTTATTCAAACCTTTAACCCTCAATTCTTTTTTTTTTGTTTTGTTTTTTTTGTTTTGGAGTTTGTCAGCTGCAGTTTGGTGCAAGAGCAGCTTTATTTTTTTTTTCTGGGTGATTAATGGAAGGGGAAGCCTGGTGTCAGAATTGTTGGGCAAAGCTGGGAAAACACTCAGAGATCTGGAGGGGAATTAAGCACAYAAATGATTCTAATTGTGCTTTTTATTACTCCAAAAAGTTTTTCTTATTTGCCTTATTTTCTTTGAAAATTCTTATTTTCTTATTTTCTTAATTATCTTATATTTTCTTATTTTCTTATTTGATGTGTATAACCCTCCTCACCAGAAATTTTCTTTTTCTTATTTACCACAAACACAGCTCAGAGTGGCTCTGCTTTGCACGATGCAACTTAAAAGTGTTTTTTGGGGAGCCTAAAATGTAAATCCTGCTGGACCTGAGCAATTCCTGGTCCAATCCTGCTTTTCCAGAGGAGCTCTCTGCTGAAAGGGCTGCTGTTGCCATGAAATGTTGTTTTAATGATGCTAACGAGTGAGAAAACTTTCCTGGACATTTGAGCTGGACTTTGAGCCCCTCTGAGTGGTCTCAGAAAGCAAAAAACTCAGCAGGAATTTGTTGAATTGATGTCTTCCCGAGCTGTGTTTCAATCAGCAGGAGTGATATGTGATATCCATTACACCTTAAAATTCACTGCCACTTGCACCAATTTCGGTGTGATTTATGTTTCTGAGGCTGGGATTAATTTGTTTGAATTCTTACGTCACCGKTTCCAGAGGAAAAGGGTGAAATTGCTGGAAAATAAATCCCAGCCTCAGCAGGGGATCCTTTCAAGGACTTGTGCTGGCCCAAGGTGTTACTTGCATTGCCAAAAAGCCACAAAAATCACGGGAAAACAAGGAAAAAATAAGGAATTCCAATCTTTCGGTGATGTTTTCCTGCAGTGGTTTCTCTTTCCCAGATTGTGTCGAGCTCAGAGCCTGAAGGAGCTCCTTTCAGGGCATCTCCAGCTGTTTTTTTTCTGGGCTGAGTGTGTTTTTTCTGAGCCCCGCTGTGTTTTACAGGAAGCTCTGCCAACCCCAGAACAGCAGCGGCTTCCAGGGAGAGACCCCATCGCTGAGCCCCCCGAAGGACCCCGTCAACTCCAGCTCTCCCCCTCAGGTGGGTGACACCTCCTTGGGTGACACTGGGTGGGTGACACCGGGTGGGTGACACCTCCTTGGCTGGGTGACACCGGGTGGGTGACACCTCCGTGAGTGACACCTCCTTGGGTGACACCTCCTTGGGTGACACCTCCTTGGGTGGGTGACACCTCTCAGGTGGGTGACACCGGGTGGGTGACACCTCTCGGGTGGGTGACACCTCTCGGGTGGGTGACACCTCCTTGGGTGACACCTCTCGGGTGGGTGACACCTCTCAGGTGGGTGACACCTCCTTGGGTGACCCCTCTCGGGTGGGTGACCCCTCTCGGGTGGGTGACACCGGGTGGGTGACACCTCTCAGGTGGGTGACACCGGGTGGGTGACACCTCCTTGGGTGACACCTCTCGGGTGGGTGACACCTCTCAGGTGGGTGACACCTCCTTGGGTGACACCTCTCAGATGGGTGACACCTCCTTGGGTGGGTGACACCCTGGGGACCCCAGGATTGCTGAGCTCCTGACGGCTTTGGCTGCTGGGTTGTGGGTGGGGTCTGCACCCTGTAATCACCTGCTGCCAGGTCAGGAGGTCCCCGATGTTTTATTCCTCTTTTATTCCTCTTTTATTCCTCTTTTATTCCTCTTTTATTCCTCTTTTATTAACTCGTTCTGCCCTTCCCCAGCATCTGTTTCTCCTCTGCCCGTGGGGAGGCTCTGAGACCTCGAGGCTCAGGTTTAAATTCCTTTTGCAGCACTTCCATCCCTCCCTCCCCGAGTTCCTGGGAGAACGAGCTGCTGTTTTCCTCATTACTCATAATGCAGTGGAACGAAGCCCTAATAAGCAGCTCCCAAACGTGGCTGAGTTATTAAAAATCCTTGACCTTTCGCAGCCTAATTGCCGTGACAGATCAGGGGCAGCTTGGGCTGCTCCTGGCTCAGAGCTGCCACAGAAAAAAAACATTTCACCGCTTTTTCTGTGCCCATAAAACACMCAGGAGCTGTGTGGAGCAGAGCATTGGTCCCAGTTCTCCCAGTATGGCCCAGTACAGGCTGGTGAAAGGCTCTCCCTGCGTGGGTCAGCCCAGACAAGTCRAGCATTTATCTTTTACCCAGTGGAATGTGTAATGCTGCCTGTCTGGACAGACACTCCGGGGATTAGTGGCCAACAATAGCAGCAGGTAAAGAAATTCTCTGCTGGTTGTGGCACCCAGAGGGAGGTGATTCTGTGTTTCAGAGYGATCTTTGTGGGATTTTTTCACCAGGGAACTGATCCCAAATTCTCTGCTTTGAGCTTGTTCCTGCTGAATGGAGAGCGATCGCAAAGAAAGGGTCGCTCAATTCTTTTTTTTAAAGTTGAAAAATCATCTTGCTTCTCTGGCTGTCTGTGTTTTAAAGACTTTAAAGGTCTTTAGGGTGAAGTTTTCATCTCTYAAAACGACCCAGTTGAAATTTTGGGTGGTTTGGATTTGGGAAAGGGATGATCCAGTGTGGAATGGAAGCGTTTCCAGCACGGTTGTGTCGTGTCAGACAGAAAACCCACAACATTGGGAGCTTCTTTAACACTCTCTGGCTGTAGTTTCTCTTTAAATAAATGGTTGTGAAGGGATACAGTGGCAGCAGAGGACTGGGATTTGGTAGGCTGGAATTCAGAATATTTTGGGAAAGTTCACTCRCGGAATGAAGGTGAAGGAGAAAAGATTGATCCGGTAATTCTAGGGCAGGAATGTGTGTAACCCTCCTCACCAGAGAGGTGAGTTTGGAGGGGCTGAGAGGTGTTTTTGGAGAAAAGGTGGTCAAATGTGGCAGGATTTGAGCTGTGTGGAGGAGCTTCAGTCAGAGCTGCCTCTCCTCGGGGGATGGAAGGACATTTCTGGGATGGGAAGGGATGAATGGAAGGACATTTCTGGGAWGGGAAGGGAWGGGATGTTRCTGAGCYGGTCAGGCTGTCCCTGCCCCTTGAGCTCAGAACCAGCAGCTCATCCCTCATTACCCTGCCAGGAGGAAAGAATTCCTGGCACTGTGTCCTGGAGACCCCTGAGTTAGCAAAGAGATAAAAAACGGGGAAAAAGAGGGAATCAGGGGCTCCTCGGACCGTCACCAGCCCTGCTTTGGTGATGGAACAACATTTCCATTCGCAAACACGGCGCGGCCCTGCCTGAGACAGAACGAAAATAATGGATTGTCCAAAAGAAACAGCCAAAGCTATGGCTTGTTTTCCTCTGGGCACGGAATAATCCCTGGCTGGGAGCTGCTGCTGCCCCAGAGCTGCCAGGTGGGCACACAGAGAGGGCWGCCTGAGGCCAGGGCTGGCACGGGATGGGCTCAGCCTGGGCGATGGTTCTGTGCTCGGGGCTCAGCCTGGTGGATGGTTCTGTGCTTGGGGCAGCTCTGCCAGGCTGGAGGTGGTGTGGGCACACAGAGCTGCTGCAGGGCACAGCTGGGAGCTGCTGCTGGGCACACAGAGCCACTGCTGGGCACAGGGAGCCACTGCTGGGCACAGGGAGCTGCTGCAGGGCACACAGAGCCACAGCTGGGCACACAGAGCTGCTGCAGGGCACAGGGAGCCACTGATGGGCACAGCTGGCAGCCACTGGTGGGCACACAGAACCACTGCTGGGCACAGGGAGCCTCTGCAGGGCACACAGAGCCACTGCTGGGCACAGCTGGCAGCCACTGGTGGGCACATGGAGCCACTGCAGGGCACACCGAGCCACTGCTGGGCACACAGAGCCACTGCAGGGCACACCGAGCCACTGCTGGGCACACAGAGCCACTGCTGAGCACACACAGCCACTGCAGGGCACAGGGAGCCACTGCTGGGCACACGGAGCCACTTCTGGGCACACAGAGCCACTTCTGAGCACACAGAGCCACTGCTGGGCACACAGAGCCACTGCTGAGCACACAGAGCCACTGCTGGGCACACAGAGCCACTGCTGAGCACACGGAGCCACTGCAGGGCACACAGAGCCACTGCTGGGCACACAGCCACTGCTGGGCACACAGAACCACTGCTGGGCACACACAGCCACTGCTGGGCACAGGAAGCCAATGCTGGGCACACGGAGCCAATGCTGGGCACAGGAAGCCAATGCTGGGCACAGGGAGCCACTGCAGGGCACAGCTGGCAGCCACTGGTGGGCACAAGGAGCTGCTGTAGGGCACAGGGAGCCACTGCTGGGCAGTGAGGGAGCTCACACAGAGCCACTGCAGAGCACACAGAGCCACTGCTGGGCACACACAGCCACTGCTGGGCACACACAGCCACTGCTGGGCACACAGAGCCGCTGCTGGGCACAGGGAGCCAATGCTGGGCACACAGAGCCACTGCTGGGCACAGCTGGCAGCCACTGGTGGGCACATGGAGCTGCTGCAGGGCACAGTTGGGAGCTGCTGCTGGGCACAGGGAGCTCACACAGAGCCACTGCAGGGCACAGGGAGCCACTGCAGGGCACACAGAGCCACTGCAGGGCACACAGAGCCGTTGCTGGGCACAGGGAGCCACTGCTGGGCACACAGAGCCACTGCTGGGCACAGCTGGCAGCCACTGCTGGGCACACAGAACCACTGCTGGGCACACAGAGCCACTGCAGGGCACACAGAGCCGTTGCTGGGCACAGGGAGCCACTGCTGGGCACACACAGCCACTGCAGGGCACACAGAGCCACTGCTGGGCACACAGAGCTGTTGCTGGTCACAGCTAGCAGCCGCTCCCTGCTCTGCCCGCTCACAAAAGGGGCACTCAGGTCACACCAGCCCCCCTGACGTGGCTTCTGAAAGCGCTGCCAACGTCCCCTTTGGCCTGGAATTCGGAGAACTGAGGAGGTTCCTCCCCTGTGCCAGGCAGTGAGTGCCCTGTTCTGGAGAAGGGGGAAGCTCTTGAGCACGGAGCTGGGAGTAAAATGCAGAACTGGTGAATCCCTCCCTGCTCCAGAGCCTGTTTTCCCTTGGCAGGGATTTCRGGGTGCTCAGGACTGATGTTTTATCATGCAGAATGGGTTGGGTCATTAAAGCTCACCCAGTGCCACCCCTGCCATGGCAGGGACACTTCCCACTGTCCCAGGTTGCTCCAAACCCTGTCCAGCCCGGCCTTGGGCACTGCCAGGGCTGTTTCCATTCTCAGATTGTTGGAACAGGCTCTGAGCTCCAAAGTTTGAGCTGCAGTGGGGGCCGGCTGGGCATGGGCTGGGTGTGGGTGAGATCAGGAATTGCTGCAGGGATCCTTTCAGCTCTCCCACCATCCCTGGGCTCTCTGGCTGTAGTTCCTGTTCAGAGAAATGGTTGTGAAGGGGAGCAGCTCGGGATGGATCAGCCGCTGTTCCCCGGGATTTTTATTCCCTTCTCCCGGGGATTTTTATTCTCTTCTCGCGAGGATTTTTATTCCCTTCTCCCCAGTATTGCAGCTCGGGATGGATCAGCTGCTGTTCCCGGGGATTTTTATTCCCTTCTCCCGGGGATTTTTATTCCCTTCTCCCCGGTATTGCAGCTCAGGATGGATCAGCATGGTCTGGGTGTGGGTGAGATCAGAAATTGCTGCAGGGATCCTTTCACCTCTCCCACCATCCCAGTTCGGGATGGATCAGCCGCTGTTCCCGGGGATTTTTATTCCCTTCTCCCGAGGATATTTTTATTCCCTTCTCCTAGGGATTTTTATTCCCTTCTCCCCGGTATTGCAGTTCGGGATGGATCAGCTGCTGTTCCCGAGGATTTTTATTCCCTTCTCCCCGGTATTGCAGATCGGGATGGATCAGCCACTGTTCCAGGGATTTTTATTCCCTTCTCCCGGGGATTTTTATTCCCTTCTTCCCGGTATTGCAGCTCGGGATGGATCAGCCGCTGTTCCTGGGATTTTTATTCCCTTCTCCCGGGGATTTTTATTCCCTTCTCCCGGGGATTTTTATTCCCTTCTCCCCGGTATTGCACCTCGGGATGGATCAGCATGGTCTGGGTGTGGGTGAGATCAGGAATTGCTGTTGGGATCCTTTCAGCTCTCCCACCACCCCAGTTCGGGATGGATCAGCCACTGTTCCCTGGGATTTTTATTCCCTTCTCCCGGGGATTTTTATTCCCTTCTCCCGGGGATTTTTATTCCCTTCTCCCTGGTGTTGCAGTTCGGGATGGATCAGCCGCTGTTCCCGAGGATCTTTATTCCCTTCTCCCGGGGATTTTTATTCCCTTCTCCTCGGTATTGCAGCTCGGGATGGATCAGCCACTGTTCCAGGGATTTTTATTCCCTTCTCCCGAGGATATTTTTATTCCCTTCTCCCGGGGATTTTTATTCCCTTCTCCCCGGTATTGCAGTTCGGGATGGATCAGGCACTGTTCCCAGGATTTTTATTCCCTTCTTCCCGGTATTGCAGCTGGGGATGGATCAGCCACTGTTCCTGGGATTTTTATTCCCTTCTCCCGGGAATTTTTATTCCCTTCTCCCGGGGATTTTTATTCCCTTCTCCCGAGGATTTTTATTCCCTTCTCCCGGGGATTTTTATTCCCTTCTCCCTGGTATTGCAGTTCGGAATGGATCAGCATGGTCTGGGTGTGGGTGAGATCAGGAATTGCTGTTGGGATCCTTTCACCTCTCCCACCACCCCAGTTTGGGATGGATCAGCCGCTGTTCCCGAGAATTTTTATTCCCTTCTCCTGGGGATTTTTATTCCCTTCTCCCAGGAATTTTTATTCTTTTCTCCCTGGTATTGCAGCTCGGCATGGATCAGCCGCTGTTCCTGGGATTTTTATTCCCTTCTCCCTGGGATTTTTATTCCTTCTCCCTGGTATTGCAGTTTGGGATGGATCAGCCACTGTTCCAGGGATTTTTATTCCCTTCTCCCGGGGATTTTTATTCCCTTCTTCCCGGTATTGCAGTTCGGGATGGATCAGCCGCTGTTCCTGGGATTTTTATTCCCTTCTCCCGGGGATTTTTATTCCCTTCTCCCGGGGATTTTTATTCCCTTCTCCCCG